CCCCAAAACCCCAAAACCCCAAAACCCCAAAACCCCGCTAATGGCTGTGATTATTGAATAATTTATAAAATTTCTCCGTTTCGTCTAAGTGAAGACTCTGAATATATAATGAACCAAGCCCAAAAAGGATTCGAACAAATGGACCAGAAGATAGCAATGACTTCTCAAGAAGTCAGCATGATGGTCAACGAGATCAAGAGCAAGAATTATTATAGTAGTATTCCAACTACTACAGTGAGATGTGTCCAGAAATGCGTCCATAATTTCGATGATATGTTTATTAACAAGAAGGAAGAGGAATGCTTAAATACCTGCTTTGTGAAGACCCTAGACATCCAGGACTCGCTTTCTAAGGAACTTAAATTTATGGTTAAAAATATGTAAAGTTTTACATCAAACATTTACTTTAACATTGAAGATTTATAGAACTTCATCTCTTCGATACTTTCGACAATGTCGTCTAAAGCTCTGTGGGTTTCCTTCTTAGGTGGGACATTCATAGCATCTTCGGGATACCACCAGGCACAAGCCTGTTTGAAACTGCTCACATCAAGGATTCTATAATGCAGGAAGTCATAGAGCTTCTTCATATCCTTATACAAGAACATCTTATCAGTAGAAATACTGTTCCCTGCAAGAGGAGCTGTACGTGGTTTAATATTACACGTATTCTGTAAGAAATCAAGTACTTGTTCTTCAGCTTCCTCAAGTGTGACCTTAGACTCTATTACCCTCTGTGTGAGTCCTGACTCTCCATGGGTCTTTGTACACCACTCATCCATATTATCCAGCATCTCTTGTGGGCATCCTATCACGATATTTGGGCCTTCATACCTAGTATCAAGGTCATCTGCATCAGTGACTATAACTGCAATCTCAATTATCTGGTTGGTCTCCAGAATGAGCCCAGTCATTTCTAGATCTATCCACACAAGCGGATGCTTCAGCTCTATTTTCTGTGAGGCTTCCATTATCTAAAATTCCAACTCAAAAATTATTCCGTAAAAGGGGTTTTGGGGTTTTGGGGTTTTGGGGTTTTGGGG